AGATACACACAATGTGAAATTTACTGGCCTAACCGTTAAGGGCCTCCCTGTATGTGCCCCGGGCTAAGTGGCTGGATGCGGCAGGCGCATCAGGGGTCTTTGGTCTGTCAACTCCCCCTTGGGACGGCTGGCCTCTCCGGGCAGCCGGGGCAGGGATGGTGGTGGGATCCAGCCAGGCCTGATGGGGAAGCCTGAGCCCTTCCTTTTCAGTTCTTTGCACTCCAACACAAAAATTTAACTTCTTTATATTACAGAATCCCTGCGTGCTCCGTGCGACCAAAGGGAACCGTGAGCACAGAGCTTAGTCATAATAAGTACAAGACAGAGATAGGTCCCCAACTACTTTCTGCCCCACACGTGGGGCCCTTGTCTGAGGCAGGTGGCCCGTCACAGTGGGTTTTTGCGCGGTGGGCCCCCAGGGCCGTCCATCCTCGGTGGTGCCTGGGGATTCTGGGGCTGGGCCCCAAGATCCTGCCCTGAGGTCCTGCCTGGGCTGGGCACCCCCGGTTGCCAGTTGGTGGAGGTAACTGACAGCAGCACAGGTTTTGTGTCTCCCCCTCCGTTGGGCCTGACGTGTGCCAGCGGGAATGCCGGGACCGCTGTGGCTTCCACCCTGGGCCTGGAAGCAAACAGAAGGCACCAAGGAAAGCAGGCCGACTGAGCGCGTTGGGCCTCAAAGGGCAGGATGCCCCATCCCGGCCCCCTCCCCCCATCTGACGCAAGCCCGGACGTGTGGCAGAGGGCTCTAGCGTCGGCTGCCTCATTTGCTGGCTGTGCGACTCCGTGTAGCATTTACTGAGCACCTACTGTGTGCCAGGCACGGTGCTGGGCCCCGCAGACTCAGGGCCGGGTGAGGAGACGTGGTCCCTGTCTCGATGCCCGTGTAACCGCCACACGGGTTACACGAGCCAGTCACCAGGCACAGCTGTACGAGGCGCCACCGAGGCCCGGGCCAGGGGCAGGGGGCTGGGAGTATGGCTCCGTCCGCGGTGGCCAGAGAGGGCTTCTCTAAAGCACACGCCGAAACCAAGAATGAAAGGGAAAGTGGGAGTCAGCAGGGGAGGGAGGGGAAGAGTGGGCTGAGCAGAAAGTGTCCTGAGTGAAGGCCCTGTGCCTGGGCCAGACGGAACCTTCCCCAGCCTCCATTTCCCCATCCGCAAAGTGGGCATAATAGTCCTTGCCTCCTGGGCTCCGTGGGACCATTGCGTGAAATTGTGCCTGGAAAGCGCATAGCCGTATGCCTGGCTCTCAGTTGTTTTGCAGAATCACAGACACCGGGAGGGCAGACGCTTGTGTAGACCCCTTCAAGTTCATGGGCTTCCCACAGGCCATCTAGTTCGGTATTTCTCCGCTGGAGTGGTTCTGCTCCCGGGGGGATACGTGGCCTTGTCTGGGGACACTTTTGGTCGTCCTCACTTGGGAGCAGGTGCTACGGACACCTAGCAGACGGAGGCCTACGTCGTACGGTGCGCAGAATCACCCAGCCCCCCGCAAGAATCACCCAACCCCAAATGTCAGTGGTGCTGGGGTGGAGAAACCCTGAGCTGGTCTAAGCCACTTATTATACCAGCAGGGGACCTGAGGGGCACTGCAGGGGAGGGGTACACAGGACTGGCATACAAGGCCCTGGCCTCCTGGAACGGGTTTTCTGGTGGCAGCATGTCTCAAGGGGGAGGGGGGGGGGGCCGGGCCTGTCGGAACCTGAGGCCGGGGGCCCTGGGTGGGGGCTGGAGTCACGTCTCTCAGTGGCCTTGGAGCCGTGACGGCTCACAGGGTGGGGTGACCGGGGTGTCTGGGGCAGCAGATTCCCCCATCTCTGCTCTGGCGAGGCAGGGTGCCCCCAACCTTCCCACGATGAACAGCGCTGCGCAGCGTTTGGGGAAGCAGGGCTCCAGCACGCGTTTGCACGGGGCGGTTTCTGCCTGGCCGGAGCTCTGATCCTGCTGCTAACTTAACTGTGTGACCCTGAGCCGGTCTGTCTCCCTCTCTGGGCCCCCTGCGAATCCACCGAGGGCTGGGAGCCCATCAGTGGTTCTCTTGCCGTCTGCAGGAAGCTCTCAAGTGCTGGCCAGGGTCCTCGGGGCTTAGGAAGAAGGCACTGGATACCTGGGTCTCACTCCGTCCTTGTCTGGCAGTTTGTGTGTTCATGCATTCGTCTGTCCGTCCGTCCATCCATCCATCCATCTCCTTGGACAGACATTTACTGAGCCCCCATCATACACCAGGGCCCACCCCCGGCAAGGGGCTCTGCGGTGCCAGAGAGGTTACAGTGGGATGTCCCTCCAGGGATGCGACTTGGAAGCAAACGTGATATAGCGTGCTGGGGATCTCCCAAGGGGTGAGGGAGCAGAGGAACCTGTCAGGCTCTGGGGCGGGCAGGGGTGGGGGGGCCTGGCCAGCATTCCCGGAAGCGACGTCAAAGCTGGGACAAGGTAGGTGAGTGGCTGAGCCCAGTGAAGAGAAAAAAGATGTGTTTTGCGGCCAGAGGGGCCTACGGGTACCAAGGCCTGGAGGCCGGAGATAGTATGGCACATTCTAGAGAGTGTGGCTGGGTGTGGAATATGGAGGTGGTTGGCAAGAGGAGGCTGGGCCCGGGGTTGCTTCCTGGGGATGGGCTTCCTGGGGCCCTCTGCTGGGGTACCTGGACGGTCCCCCTACCCCAGAAAGGCTCCCCACGGAGGCTGGCCTCCCCGCGTCCCCGCCTGCCCCCAGCTATCACTGCAGGACCCCCACTGCTGGCTCTCTGCAGCTGCTCTCAGCGCTGGGGGTTCCTGCAGCCAAGCAAACCGCCCCCCCCACTCAGGAGCCACCCGCAGGGACCCTCTAGGAGCGGCTTTTGTCTTCTCTCCATTGTTTTTAACAGGCTTTCAGGATCACTTAAATACCACACATCCATCGTGGGGCAGTGAGAAGCCTGCGGGGGGCCCCCATCCCGCCCCCGAGTGATCTGGTGGCTGGAGCGTGCCCCCGCACGGCCCCCAGACGGTCACCAGGCCCGTCCCCTCCTCCTGCCCAGGGACCTGTCTTGGCCAGGAGGCCTGGAGTCACGGATCAGGTCTTGTCCCTAAAACGCCCCTTCTCCCTGGCCGTGCGTCCTGCCCGGGTATGAAGTTGCGGCCCAGAGCACCCAGCTGGGGAGGAGGCTTTAGGGGAGGGTCCTGCGGGAGGCCGGGTCCCTTCCTGGTACCTGCGGTGGGAGGGGCACCCGACCTCTTGCCTCCGCACCTTCATCTGTGAACCCCGCATCGCTGAGCTCAGCGCCCAGCATGGGGCAGAGGGCGAGATGGGGCAGCCGTCCCGTTCCTGAGCAGGGACCTGGCCTCCCTGGGCCTCTGCTCCCTGCAGGTGTCCGGTGGGAGATGGGGAGGGGCACGGAGGCCTGGCCTCCTTCACGGCCTCCCGCTGGCTGTGGGTGTCCACCCCGGCCCGACCCCCCTCCCCCATCCCATCTTCCCGCCTCCCCCTCACCCAGCAACCCCCATCCTGTTAACATCTGGCGTCCGTCGTGCAGGCTGACGATCCCCGAGTGTCCTGTGGGTCCCTTTAGGTCCTTGTATGTGCAGCACCCACCCAGGCCCCTCAGATTGTGCCCTGTGGGTGGGAGGGCAGCGGCCTCTCCACGTGCGACCTCTGTGAATGGGCCCCCGCCACGGTGCCACTTCCCAGGGCCGGGCACAGGGTGCCCCCTAGTCCTCTCCCTAGACATGAGGGGAGAAGGGCGCCTTCACAAGGGTCTCAGGACGGAGCAGTGGGGCAGGTGGTAGTCTCGGCGACCCCGTGGCTCGGAGCAACTGGCCTCAGCCCCGGTCTGGGTTGCGAGGACGTGCAAGTCGGCCCCTCCCGGGCCTCAGCTTCCTCATCCCCCAAATGGGCTTCCTGGCAGGCTCGCTCGCTGGCCGTCGTGGGCGTTCCGGGAGAGTGGGTTTGCAGAGAGTGGCCCAGCGAGGTAAGGGCTGGGAACAGATAATAGCTGATGCCCTGCTGGCTTCCCTTGGTGCTAGGAATCTTCCTCCTCCAAGGAATCCTCCTCCAGCTGGGTTGCTAAGCTACGCCCAGGCGCCGACTCGCCAACTGGTTTACGACAGCCCGTCTGAGTTCATAATACAAAAGATCATGCTACTGATGGCTTTTTTTTGCCCAGCCCTATGTTAAGGATGCTACGTCATCCTCTCATCTGAGGCCGACAAGACAGACGTGGCAGCCGTCCCTTTTTAGGGACGAGGAGACTGAGGCTCAGGGGGGTAAAGACACTTGGCCAAGGTTGCACAGCCAGCAAATGGCAAAGCCGGGGTTTGGGCTCCAGAGCCGTGCGGCGGTCAGCTGGCTGCTTAGCTGCAGAATCCTGGGCCGGGCGCTGGGAATACGGGGGGGGGGGACAAACCAGGGTGCCCTCTGAGCTTGCTGCCCGCTCCTGTGTCTCTTAGCACGGATCCCCGCGAACAGACGTGGGGGAGAGGGGGTGTGTGTAATGGGGGGCGGGGTGCAAGCATGTGGGAGGAGCCAGCTGCCGGCCCCATATGGTGGCTCTGCCCACCAGCGGTACCACCGGCACCGCCAGCCTGCCCCCGCTCTGTGGTGCCAGGAGGGGCTCAGCGGAGACGGTGGGGAGGCAGGGGTGCCCCGGTGTAAGAGCGTGACTTTAGGGGAGCTCGTTCGGGTGAGTTTTGTTTCAGCCCCGCTGTGTGGAGTGCAGGGCTGCGGGGGTAGGGGGGTGGCAGGTGCTCTGTGCACGGTGTGCAGGTTAATTCTCACGGCGACTCTTATCCCCCTGGTACGGACGAGGCTCAGAGAGGTGCCGTCACCCGTCCCAGGTCACACAGCTAGCCAGAGGCAGAGGGGGGATGAGCCCGTGCTGCGCAGTGTCCAGGCCTGTGCCCCCCCCCCCCCCCACGTGGCACTGTCTCCCTGAACAGGATTCACAGCCTTCCGGGGACGCTGGCAGGTGGGTGGGTGATGCTGGCGCCTCTTTGACCCTCTCTCGCCCGGTCTGCCGCCTCCAGGTACAAAGGCTTCATCAAGGACTGCCCCAGCGGGCAGCTGGATGCCGCAGGCTTCCAGAAAATCTACAAGCAATTCTTCCCATTCGGAGATCCCACCAAGTTTGCTACGTTTGTTTTCAACGTCTTTGACGAAAACAAGGTGAGCCGGGGATTGACGGGGCCTGAGCCGGGGGGGGGGGGGGGGGGGGGGG